GTCTGTCCCCACCGTGAGAAAGGAGTTGCGGCCTCGGGCCGCCGGAAGCCGCCGGGCCGCGAGTCGCCCAGCCGGGGCGGAGAGGAGCAGACCCGGGGTACCACGGTGTCCTCGGCCGCGTCTCGCATGGGCGGGGCGCTGGGTTCCCCGCGCGGTGGCTTCGGGTGTGCGTTTCCGCGGTAGAGCGAGAACCCTGAGTGGGTCGGGGAAGGGCGCTCCCCTCCTGGCTGCGAATTCTGATCCAATCAGCTCTGCCAGCGGTTTCAAACGACACCCGCCAACCCACTCCCGGCCCAAAGTCACGCCGGGAGCCCGGCGAGCTGCGGACGGCGGTGGGCCGGAGGAAGCAGCCCCGCGCGGCGCCTCCGAAATAACTTCCAGAGTCTGGGGAGCGCCGGGTTGCTCGAGTTTCAAGGCCCTTCCGGGCCTGCGCCCCGCCCCAGGGATCGCCCAGATTTCCGGGAGGGGGAGAGGGCGGTCGGCCCGTCTCCCATTCGGCTGACTTGACAACAATTAAGAAAGTTTTTAATTAGCTTCTTGTTATCATCCGTTTTATTAATTTCCAGAGCTCTCAGACCATGAATTATTCAAAGCGCAGGCCGACCCGAGCGGGGCGATCGCGCGCCCCCGCCGCACGTTCCCGGCCGGCTCGGAACGCGCCACTTGCTGGCGGCCCTGGAAGGCCGCCGGCCGCGGGCGCGAAGGCTCGATCAAATATTAAATAACGGTATTATTGCGACCAGGCATATCTCGCAGGCGGAGAAGATGCCTCCCCTAAGAATTAAAATTCGGCTTTAAAAAGAAAAAGCAATTAAGCTTACGGTCTCCTCCGGAACCGTCCGCCAGTACTGTGTGGCTCGCACGGTGGAGCTGAGGCTGCGGCTGCAAGAACACCGATGAGCAGAACCATACCAGATAATTGTGCACATCGCCTTTATCCAGCCGCTGGCCACCAGTGCCGTGGCGTGGAGTGGGGAAGGCCAGCCGGGGTCAGAAGCCACACAATTCCAGCAGCCCGGGCTACCCTAAGGAAGCCCCTCCACGTGTACCGTGGAGCAGGGGCGCGTCGCGCAGGCTTGGCGGGAAAGGCCCCAGCGGCCGGGCAGGGGACCGGGAGCAGGAGCTGGTCAAGGGAGTTCTGGGCCCTGGGAGCCCACTTGTCTCTCTCCGAGGCCACGTGTTGGAACGAAGTAGTATTGTAGTCACAAGAAAGTAAAAATCTCGTGGCAGTAGGTGCCTACGGTTTATGAGTGTAATAATCAAAACAATTTTAGAATACGCATGAAACAAACAAAAAGAATATTATCTAGAAGATAATTTTGTCTTGAGGACTATGTTCTTTTCTTTTAACCTACAGAGAAGGTGCAGGGTCCGGAGCTAGTACTGAGGGAAAGAAAACTAAGGATGAGTGGCTGGCATAAATATGGCAGGTGTGTTTCATGCTTAATTTTCTTTTGGCTTCCGCATTTCATTACCGCCTGGGTTTCCTTACAAATTGAAATACAAGTGAAGCACAATTTTCACACTTCTCAAACTTACTATGCGGTTATTCTTTAAAAGAATCACAGCCACACATTTTACTCTTTCACATCCTTTGACTGGTGCCGCTTAGTGTGAAGTTCTGCTCTTACGAACCAGAAAACTTTTAAAAGGCAACAGCTGAATGGCAAACTCTCTTCAGGAGAACGTTTGTTAGTTTCTTCATCGACTGACAGTTACCGTCTTGGTATAATCTTACTATTCGTTCAGGCGGTACACAGATTCATTCACCAGATAGCAAAGACTATTTCGTTTTGCATAGTTTCCTACTGCAGAAAATAGGAAACTCTGCAAAGCATGTATTTTCATAATCTGTTTTATTACCATAATATTGTCCTCTTTTTTTATTTGGTAAGGAATTTACTTAATACAAAACAAATGCTTAAGTGCATATTACATACATTGGTCATTCTATAATACAAATGTATTTGCCTGCAACATTTCCGTCTGGGACAGATTTAAAAAAAAAACAGCCTCTGTAAATCTTTTCATTTGTTCATTTCTGCTTCTCCAACAATGAAATCCGGTCATACTTTTCTATAAAATAACATGTCTTTTACAAATGCATTTTATTAAAAACTTTGATGACATTTCAAGTCAATAACAACAGAAACAAATCAATTTCGATGGAAGAGATCTATTTTTAAAAATACCTCTAGTGCTTATTTTTAAACATGAACAACTGTTTAAAATTACAGCTTTTTAAATGTACTATTATTTTTTGAACATCAAGTGTTTTCACAGATCTGCCGGTGAAATTAAAAAGATTTGGCTAAAATAGGATGATTTCAGAATATAGAATCCAGCTATTAACAAACTTTGTACATTTGGCATCTGATCTAGTCCTAGGTCACCAAGTAATAGAGAATCTCAGGTCCCTCTGGAGTAGTAGGTCACACACTAGATGTTCCATATGAATAGAGGCATTTGACATGATGGCTGGACAAATCAGTGATCTTTTTTAAAATTATTATTTACTAACCTCCAAAGAGAAGTGATTTAGTTACAACATTTGTTGGAAATGTCTTCAGTTCTAACAACACAGAGCCTAGAAATGTCTCTGTCCCCTGAACCTCAATTCAAATATTTTGGGGATGCCTGGTTACTTATTATCTTCTACCACAGTGAGGTAAGGGCTATGTTTTAAGAGTTTCTGCAGTTAAAAAAAGGAAAAGAAACTTTGATAAACACAGGCAACTAATATAGAATTCATTTTATTCAGAGCACCGCTTTTCACATGAGTTATCTGAAAGTGAATTCTGATTCAGCAGAAAAATACATCATTCTCACCCTTTCCCCTCTTCATATTCCCCTTTCAACATCCTCCCCCTTCCCTGTATTTTTGGTTGAAGTGAGTCTCATTTGTTAAACGACTCTACCAGGACTTGGCCCAGTATAAACACAAAAATGCACCCAAATCATAAAACTGTTCTTCTTTCAGTTATGTTTTATTTGTAAGTGTACTGGGACACATCCCCGGTTGTATTCTGGCGCACAGAAATGGTTCTGCTAGAAGTGGGAGAGGGGGAGGTAATAGAGCAAAGACATAACCAAGGAGAAAGCTCAGCAGACATACATGGACAGATCAATCCGTGGGACATAGCAGGATTAACACTGGCAGTTTGCAACCACTATGTGAGTGTGTGCGTTAAAGAAAATATTTACAATAATCTTCCTTTTTTCCTCTTCTTCTAAATACAAGAATATGACAAGAATGTTGTTTTCGGTGAAAACAGGCAGTAGGCTGTGAAATCACACTATCCACAAAACCGTCTATCAGAAAGCTAGCCCAGTTTAGTGCTCAGTTTCAAATGCATAGAATGTTTGCCCTGCAAACAATGATATACAACATAATTAAATAAATAATGTCTAACCAGAGTGAGACCTAATTGTGTTTCTTTCTGCACCTTTCAGATCATGCATGGTTTATTTCAGTCTTGTTAAATAGCAGGGTTTTTCTTTTTCTCATTTGTCCTTTTTTCGTTTTTGTTGTTGTTGTTGTTGTTGTTATTGTTATGATTAAAAGATGGTCGTAGACCATCTTCTCGTGAGCTCGAGTGTCTTGTGTACAAAGCAGGCATTTTACCTAACCACCTTCAACT